GAGAAATGTTGACATAGAATATCTGAGACTTTTTGCATGTAGGAGATCATTTTCCATAGCCAGAAGTATTTCCAAACATACTTGGCCTCAGAGATGCCATTCCCGTATATGTGATATACAGAAATATAGCGAAGAACAAGAGCTTTCACATGATATATAATAATAGTCGTGAGGAATTGTGAAACTGAGAGAGAAAAATTCTAAAATACGATCTATAATATATATGAGATGCAGTAGCAACTTAATTAAATTTGATTCGACCACTTTTTCTTTGAGAATAGTTCTAAGGTCTACTAAGTATCTAGAAACAGTCTCCTGTTCATTCTGCATCTAGGCTCTGATTAATCGATGAAATTCAGACATGGGCAGTAATTACTGTTCATTACTGTTCAGACATGGCAAACAATTACTGTTCTTACTTAAGAACAGTAATTGTTTACATGATCATGTTGTCTTTTAGCTATTATCTTAGCTACAACATCTGCTTTCATTCTTCTACTAAGCGCTTGAGTTCGGGCATTTTTGGTATTGATGTTTCAATTGTCAGCTGATTTTGATGTTACTGTCGTCGTTCTGATTCACTGTTAATCATTCGTTCTTGAACGGCATCCGGTAAAGCTAGAATGCGCTGAATACCAGTCGAGGCATGTCGTAAAACATCTGAAAACTAGCCTGTCTTATTCAGTTTTTTCTACTCATTCGACTCATGTTGAATTCAGAATTTAAACAGAGAACATGAGAAAATTAAAAGAAAACTCGAGTGTTTTCATAAGACTTTTTCGCAAAAAGTTCATAACTCATGCATTTTTTTATCCTAACATCTAAAAGCTAGAAACAGATCAGTTTTAGTTTCGAGGGTGAGTGTGTTTAAAGTGTTTTTTATGAAACAAAGGATAAAGATAATAATTAATAAAAAATGAATTATTTATTAGTAATTATCTATATTTCCTGTTGATGCTCAAAGTATTGGGCGAAAGCTTGCAAATATAAACATGAATTATTTATTGCTAAAAACTTGGATTCATGGGTAACTTTGACCGTTCTTTATTCAACAAGATGAAAACAAGCAGGTTAATTTTCTACTACGTTACCGGCAGTTTTGACTATACCAGCAGCACATCAAGAATCACCATGAACTATCAGAGTATCCCATTCCGTTTTTATGACTTTATTTAACTCAGCATATAAAGTAACATATATAAAGACTTTTTCGACGTACTGTCGGTAACATAAAAAAAGTAATCTCTAAACGTTTTTCAATCGAACTCGGAAAAAACATCATATTCGATGTCGCTGATGCACCGTGAGTCTTAGTGTAAAAGGATTTTCCAATGTACGATTGGAATGGGCAGAACGAATTGTAGAAAACATGTTTAAAGTTTGCTGAAATGATGATACGGTAAAAATCGGATTTATTAATTAACTAGACATTAAAAAAATTAAAAGAAACAATCATTTTCTTTTTATATTTGTGATTTAGTCACTCGCTCACCTAGCTATTTCTGAATGCAAATAAGGAAACATTGCCCAGGAATCTTGAATAGTTTCAGTATCAGTCAATATCGAGCACTAGTCCATCAGCTTTGTCCAAAATTTCAAAATGCGATCTTGTAATATTAACTCACACGTTAAAAAGAAAAATGCTGACAGTCGAAGACCTTCTTTCGTTGAAAGGTTGATCAAAAATGGAACAGATTTTTTAGATTATTCTTTCTCGGCATAAATCGTCCTTATCTGTGTTACACTCATACATATAGGAGAGTGGAATCGCATACTGCACTTTCAAGATCCACCTTTCCGAACGGTAAAAGTTACAACTCTCCACTACCTTGAACTGCACAAAACTCTTTTTCGTGTGAACGTGTTTTCTTCTCACACTGCAAGTGCTGAGTTAGAAGGATAAAGTAACTCAAGTTTATCTGATGAAATAAAGAAGATGCTTAACTAAAATATTTAGAATGAGTCAGTTCTGTTTTTATTTAACATTAATAAAACAAAATTCTAAATACTTTAAAAAGGCCACATTTTCACCAAATTAAATAAATGATTTGGGTATAAAATATGTGTGTTTGTGTTCGTGGTTATGTTGTTGGTTATTCAAGCGATCATATCATGCATTAACCGGAAATAACTTTCCAAACCACTCGTTAAGTTCAGCTTCATTACCCTGCCATTTATATGGACGTGGATCACGTTGTTTCAATTCTGTTAGCTTTTCTTTTATAGCAGCAACTAATTTTGGACGACATGTAGCAAGCTTTTCTTTTCCCTCTAAATCACCCACTGTAACTATAATATTTGGACAAGATTCCCGAATAGCATTTAGTATTGGTGATAAACCTAATTTTGGCAAATCAGCTATTTCAACGTTTTGAACTTCTGGGTCTAAAGCTGTACTTGAAGATTCAGATATTCCATCAAATAGAGAACCAATCATTTCATCGGTAATTGTTTCGTCAGCCATAAATTCATTAAGATCATCAATAACGAAGTCGTCAGAACTTGGCTCTGCTGCTCGTTCTCGGATTGTTGAGAAGATTTGTTCAAGTGCTGCAATACTAAGATGACGGCGATAAACATCAGCTTCAGCTTCATCTTCATCTACCGTCAATTCATTATCATTATCCTCAGTCGTTCGGAGACTACGACTATAAAGATCACCTTGAGCTTCATCAGAAGCATCCAAAAATTCAT